CGTAAGCTACAGATTCAACATGAATTTTCTCGAATAGGTAATTGTTTGTAATTTATTTGGTATTGCGTCAGCATTGCGTGAATTCTAAGACTAGCATTGAGAGAGCATGAGGAAGGTCTAAAGTAATCGAATCAGTCTCGGCAGTAAAGGTGACGCATTGTTGTCTACATAATAATTTTGTGCGCCTCTGAATCCGGAAAAAAAAGTCATAGGGATATCTGTATATTAGCTGCTAATCTAGTACTTGTCGGGAATTATCAATCGCTGAGTTTCACAGTTTCTGTTGTAGGACTGAATTTTAATTTTCAATTTTTCCATGTTTCAAGTTGTTTTAGTTGTAGTAGTTTTGAGGTTTGTATTTGTTGTGAGGGATTTTGCATATCTTTACTCAGGTTCATAATAATTATTGTTCAACCCACACACTTACTCAAAGTATTATCCCTCTTTGCAACATTTCAACTCTAATTTTTTACGCCTCCTGACTATAAGGGCAGCCGATTTGAGTATGGTGACTGACATACAGGCTGCCGCCACAAGTCAAGCGGCTCAGGTCCTCACGACCTACTTGCTCTGGCCTTGCGTTGTTTAAAGGCAGTGTCTCACCAAAGTTGAGGTCGCGCGAATCTTCACATATTCTATTATAGGGACCTCTAACTAGGCGTTGCAACCAGTCTCACTCAATTTGATCCCCTCCACGCTGAGAAAAATTCGCTTAAAGTGGTACGCGGAGAGCGAGTTGGTACGCGCGGACGACTCTTTCGGTCTCCCCCCTTACGCGTTTGAACATGTTCTCCCACTTGGCATCCACCTCCCCTCTGTTGCTGCCACTGTGGCTGAGGCTGGAGTTGGGAGGTACAACTCGTCCACGTTGCTTCAACGGGGCCTCCAGAAAACGGGGTTTTTGGGAACTTTGTGCGATTTTAAGCCCATACAGTGCTAGACAGGGTCCGACAGGCTTGCAAAATGCAAAAATCTCGGCAACTAAATTTTGGTGAGACACTGCCTTTAACGTATCTTTCAGGTACTTTGACATGCGAGCGGTGATTAGGCTGGCAAAGCAAGTGAAAAATCTTGGGTGAAGGAATGAATGTTGCCTATACGTGCTGCTTTTGAGGACTTCTGATCCTTCACATGCTTGTGCAAGCTGTTTGAAAACCAGTGGTCCGTTAAAGGGCGCCTAATGACGGCTTTGCTTCTTCACCCAATTAAGAGCTTGGAGGTGTTTGCCCATAATATCGCATCTCATTTCTCAGACGCAATTTCCAGAAGACAGCTCACCACTCCGATGAAATATGCATAATACTTGTCATCACTATGCTCTGGCATGACTCGCGACCCATGCCTTAAAAGGGAAACTTGCTAGCCGTTCTCGAATAATTGTCTTTTGAAGCTCCTCGAATATACGAATATACGAATAATCGAATCATTTTTCCAAATCGATGAATGGACGAGTTATTCGAATACAGGCCTTTTTCATTTATTCGACTATTCGAATAATCGAATAATTGGACTTTCTCGAATATTCAATTATTCGAATATTTGGTTAGTCGAATATTTCGAATAACTTATTCGAACACGAATATTCGGTTCTAATTATAGCGCTTTCCATCTTAGAAAGCTAGGCTGTTGATGCGATTTTGGGCTCTAACAAAAACAAGAGGGGGAGTTTCGGAGCCAAAATCTCACCATGTAGAAACTTTAGATGTACAACAGATTTATGTAAAAATTTTGAAAAACTTATGTGAGTTGAAAGTTTTGCCTACCACAGGTGGCATTAGGTGGGCAATTACCCACCTTTGGAAAATAGTTGGGCACGCTCTTCATTCACATAAGTTTTTCATAATTTTTCATACATCGTTCCTTAGTCCTACTGCGCGTATTCACACCAAGTCTCGCGCGATTTCGTTTTCTCTGCGCTGTGAACGAGCCATTTTTGCATTTTCTTGATAGTGTTAGTTTTCAGAAAAAAGCTTGCCACAACCTTCATTTACATAATTTTTCAATGAAACTCTTAAGTTAAGCCCTGCAGGCCCGTGTTCATGTACCTACCAAGTTTCATACCGTATGATCATCTGTGCGGTGCAAACGAGCCATTTGTATTCACATCTTCATTTACTAGTTTTGCAAATTTTTTGGAAAAAATGCTTATTACTCCTCCCATTCACATAACTTTTTCATAATATTCCATACTTTGTTTCTCCTAGCCTCTCTTCGTTAGCTTACATAATCTGGTGCTATAACGTTACGCCTCCATTGACAACTGATCGTGTAATCATGCTGCTCAACGGCATCGCTTTTGCGACGTCGCGCATGCGGCAATTAGCGGCGGCGCGGCGTAGCTCGCGCAAATGCTGTGCGTTGAGGCTTCCCAATGATTGACATGTATAATATAGTTGTAACGAACAGAAATTTTCGCCGAATGAACGAATATCGAATAATCATTTTTTGAAATTTTTTCGAATGAATGAATATTGAATAATTGATTTTCGAAAATTTTTCGAACGAATGAATATCGAATATTTGATTTTCGAAAATTCTTCGAATGAACGAATAGTATTTGAACTTCGTTTTTCATTTTATTCGAATTTGAATATTCGAATATTGGCACATTCCAAAATTCGAATGAACGAATACTTGAATAACCGAACTTGATCGAATATTCGACTAATTTCGAATAAACGTTCCAATATTATTCGAATATTCGAATGCAATATTCAAATATTCGAATATTCGAATAACATCTTTCAAAACTACTCGAATGAACGAATATTCGAATAACCTTTTTTTAAAACTCCTCGAATGAACGAATATTCGAATAAGTCATTTTTCGAAATCGTCGAATGAACGCATTATTCGAATATAGGTCTTTTTCATTTATTCGACTATTCGAATAATCGAATAAATGGACTTTCTCAAATATTCGACTATTCGAATATTCGAATAGTCGAATATTTCGAATAAATTTTTCGAACACGAATATTCGGTGCTAACTATAATGTATAAGGTAATAAGCATGATTTGACCTTCTTTTGCTTGTGGAATCTTATTCCGAGGCTCCGCCCCGGACCTCGCAAAAACGATTTTCAGCTTGTCATTTGCCCACCTCGTGCCGGGCCTTGGCAACAATTACTGGAATGATCTCAATGTGCCTTGTGCCTGGTAGGGCCTCTTTCTTACGGTACGGCAGTGGCGTAACGAGGAGGCCCACCCTCTCCCGAGATTGAGTCACAAATTTTTGTAAGTTACTTACATCTTATATATGAAGCTGAATGTCTGTTTGTATGTCTGTCTGTCTGTATGTATGTGTGTACGTGTGTTCCGAATAGATAATTTTATTTCTTGACCGATCCGGACCAAACTTGGCACACATACACTTTGGGGCCGGGCGGGTATCATAGATATTTTCGTCGTCGATCGATATCGATTTTATCGATTTTTGTCGATTTTTTTTGCAAAGTTTGAGCTACGGGGCTGTGGGTTGGCACAGGGGGGAGGGAGTAATCGAGCATGCTGATTCCGAATACAATATTAGTTATCAAAATTATCGATTAGTTTTATCGATTTTATCGATTTTTTTGCGGAGTTTGAGCTACAGGGCTGGAAGTTGGCACAGGGGGGTAAGTGGGCAAGCTGATTTCGAAAACAACACAGGGAGCGGGAAATGAAGTGTAGAAGGGGCACAGGGAAAGGCTGTACAGGGGTAGGGATGAGACCTTTATCACAGTGTTGGGCCGGGCGGAGCCGGGTAAGCCGGCTAGTGAGTTATAAAATTGAGCAAGCGACTTGTTGTTACTAATAAACAATTAAACAGTTTCCAAAAATTTGAATTATTCTTGTAAAATTTTTTCGGGGCCCCCTTTTTTTCCAACTTTCGGGGTTACGGGCTCACAAAAATTTTGTGAAGCATCTCAAAATTTTTCTGGATACTTGGCTAACGCCATGCACCTTCATTGAGAACAGATTTCCTCCCCACTTACAAAATCCTTCGTGCGTCACTGGTATACGGTGATGTGTCAGCGCCTCAGTGTTGCTTGTATCAAATTTTGCATAAGGGAGTCTGACATATTGTTAACAATATCGCTTCTCATTATCACTCCTCAGTTACGACTTCTCTCGTCTCTGACTCCTCAATACGACACTCCAGGTCTGGCGTGCCACACCCCACGCTCGATCCTGCATATAATTCTTGTAAGCTGATAAATGTCCAATGTTCTGTGTATTCAAAGTGCAAGATGGCTATAAATATGCAAAGCATTGCCATTTTGGCGACCGAAACCCGCGAAGCATGTCCGGCATATGAGACATGACGATCGTCGCGGATCGCGCGACTTTAAGGAGTGCGCTGCTCGAAGGGGTCCAAAACGCCTGTTTTCGCGCGCTGCCCCGCCCTTTCGCTTGCATATTCATACCGCAGCTCACGTTCAAAAAGTCACGTACATCACATGTGTCTACTCGCGAACGGTCGGCTTTAACTCAAGTCCACTAAGAGTCGTAGTGTATTCACGATAGGGTTGAGCTATGGGCTTAAGCCTTAGTCCTAGGAATATCAGTGTGCCATTCCTGTGTTCATGATGTATGACGTCGCGGAAGTTTGATCAGATGGAGGATTGGCACGACACTATTTAAGTGCCCAAGCTGCTAATGATCCAAAACTGTCGACAACTTATGGGACAGCTTGAGATAGCTGGCAGTAGAGATTAGGGAGTAGGTTGGTAGCCTAGGGCCTCTAACTAGCCTAGTGTATCCGTGTTGTGGCAGGCCATAAAAGCGTGGCGCAAGCTACCTTTTCCCGCGTGTCGTACTTCATCTCACGGATGGAGTCCTCAGCTTTTGTCGGCGATGCAGGAGAACACATTACCACTGACATCTGGAACTAGTTACTCCAACCCGCGACAACGATCCTTTTGTGACGCAGACAGAAAACTTGTGAAATAACATTTTATACGATTCAGAAAAGGTTATAAGCGACTATGAAGTTTCAAATGAACGCAAACTCCAGTTCAGGTTTCATTTCGTGAAGCAATCCGTATCTTTTCGATGAATGGGGTGTTCGAGGATTTCTTGCATATTAAGTTTCTTCGTAACCATTCTTGATATGGTTTTATGAAATACAGAGATAAAAGAGGATCGAATATTGGAATAAGGCCCATGATTGTGGGTGCGTATTGTAGCAGTGGATTGTTCGGAATCATAAAGTCTCCCACTGAAAACATCAGCATTCCAGCAACGAAGAGCATCGGTAGACAAGCTTGATAGGTGAGCGCCTAGAAGAATGTTCGGTGAAATTTGCTCCATTCTAGAATGGAAATGGTTACCTTCAGTAGCTGTGAGTGTAAATGCAAAGTTCTCTCCGAAATAGATTCGCTGCGCAACTTCGACGTGGTTTTTCTACGTATTATCAAAATCGCTGCATAGATGGGTAACATAGGAAGAAACATGTGCAGCGAGATTAGAAAAGACTTCCATTCCGAAAGATTTGTGGATCCAATACATACCTTAGCCCTTTCAAGAGTGGAACCGTTCATCAGTCTTTCCTCATCAATACCCTTCGTTCCTAGAGCAAAACACGACAATACCTAAAATAACACCATTATTTATTGAGCGCATACTTCGTTAGAGATAAGGCTTCAAAAGTTGTTGGTTTAGAGTCTCCGTTTGTTGAAAAGAAATGAAGGTTTTTTGTACAGGTATCCTATTCTATCTATGATTAACTTCGTTTCGAAGGCTAGCTACCTTTTTTGCGCTCAGTACGAAGCATTATAGGCGATTTATTGCACGCACAGACTGGACGCTGCTGCGTTCGACTAAGATAGTTCGTGCCTGGGAGAGACAGCAGACGGCAAGGAAATGAAAGGGCGCTTGATCAGCGAGACACCGACAGCGTCCATAATGACGCTCCACCTTTGCGTGCAATGAATCGCGTATACTTCTTCTTGCACACTTGAGAAATCCCACATAAAATAACAGCCAGACTATGACACTTAGAACCAAGTTTTTTGTCCTATCTTCGCTCAGTGGTTATTTGAGCACCTGTTGCTCAGATTGAAGGAGGCGAATTCTATTCAAATGCAATCCTGTCCTCACGAGATCTGAGCTATCGAATATGTACATTGTCCATCCTTCTGCTTCAAATTCTATTCGAAGTGAAAATATTGAAGGTCAGAAACTATCGAAAAGCAGTTAAAAATAAATTTGAAATTGTTTTGGTTAGGTTTTCGGCGAAAGTCGTTAAACTCAGCAAGTGCTAACAACTAGTTGGTAAGCCAGTGCAGCTTGTCTGATGCTTTTTGAAGACTCGCGTAGCATTAAACTTGAGTCATGAACCCTTTGGTCAAAAATAATTTGTTCTAAATCTACCAGACAGGGCCTGGCACCAGCTGGCACGGGGCAAGCTGGATATCGTTTTTGGGGCAAAAAGCAAAGGGGGTTTCGTTTTTGTGGGCGAAGACATACGAAAAATTGGTGGCGACGACCTTTTTTTTTTTTTTTTTTTTTTTTAGTCGACGTTTCGTTTTTTGGGGGATTTTGGGGATTTTTTTAGGATTTTAGAGGGGATATCGTTGAGGATCAAAGGGGACTTCGTAAAAATTGGCAAATTTCAAAGGGGACTTCGTTTTCAAAATTCCCTGGTGCCAGCTCGTGCCGAGCCCTGCTACCAGAATTGGAGCTTTTGATCAATACTCTTTTTTTGAGAAAACTGCACTTATTCTCCTTACCAGCTGCACTCCGGACGGTATATAAAGGAGCAACATGATAATGATAATAGTTCGAGTCTGTGGTGGTGAATATGTGAGGATGTAGTAACGATAGCAGAATGAGAAGAGCAGAATGTATAGTGTATTAGTATTACAGTGCATCCATATGCTACTCCTTGAAAAGTTTGCGTTATGCATCTTCTACAAAAGTTCGAAACTAACAGTACGTTGCAGCCCATCGCTCCCATCCGACAACAAAGCCCATGCCATATATTGAACATAGTCGAACCGTCTACCACGAGTCTATATTTTGTTTATATCTAATGAAGGACAACCCAATTTTATACCTTTGATCAATAGTCAGGACGGAAATGCAGGCAAGAAGATCGAACGCCGAAAAATTGAGAATGAGCAGAGAGTATTCTTTTAATACTTTTGGTGTTTTCTTGATAACCAGAAAAACCAACATAGCGTTGAAAACGATCCCAAATGCATTTATTGTTACGTTTAGTGGAAATCTAATGGCTTCCAAGAAATCCATTGTTGATGAAAACCGCAGTTCAGAGAAAGGATCCGCTAGATATCCAAAATAGGCAAAATCGACTTTGCTGCAATTTTCAACCTGAACACAGACATTGCTATAAGAAAATGGATTCTCATAAATAATCCAATACAGACAGATATTTTTACGAAATAGGCATAAATGACATTGCAGCAACATCGAAATTCTGGAAATGTATCACAAAGCCTCTCCAAACTAGTTCACTCAATAAAAATACCGCTTTCAAGGTGCTGAGCATACCTCTCGCGATTTTAATCGCCACGTGAATTGGCCATTTGCCAGATGTCTTCAAACCCAACATTCACAGACCACAAATGCTTGGTGTATTCAACCTTTGTGTGTAAATAAAATGTGTTATTTTCCTTGTGCTCAAATTGAATTTGTGACGAGTTATAAGCAACTGGAGTATTGCCAAGTCGCGTTGCGACTGAAATCGCGTGGTGTATGCCCGGGGCCTAAGGCAATAAATAGGTGTCTAGACGCTGCATATGTTATGCTTGTTGCACTTCATTAAATCTGAATAATGTGTGGTTTGATGTGGGGTTTTATTCAATTCAGACACGTCATCTACACCGTAGGGAATTCGTCTAATTGCTTGACAAAACTTTTTGGAAATGACTGTTCAGTACCTAATATGACGAAATTATTAACAGTGCTCAAAAAGATGTGTAGTCGGCAGAGACAAGGTAAGGGAGGGCGTCAACAGATCTTGATAATTTTGCCTGGAAGGAGCTTTGAGGAAAGGGAGAAAGATTTGGAACCTGCATTTAGAAAGATTACGACTAAAATGATCAAACGCTCCCACCCCTGAGAAAAGGTTAATAGAGACTGCTTTGAAGTCTTTTCCAAGTTTTTTTTTGAATCTGACATTGCACAAAATAAAAGGCTTGAAGGCAGTGTCCAAGTATAAAGTCGATCTTGAGATTTTGTGCTTACTCGCGTTTATTTGCCATGCTGAGTCCGATAAAACACAATGGAGAGCGCGAAAACAGCAAAAAAGGCCGTAACAGAGAAGGGTAACCGCAGGTGGGCGGGGCCGTTCACACCGTGACGTCACTCTCCCAGGCTCCATTTAGTAGCGTTCTTCTCGGTTCCGATTTTATGTCATGCGTTTCGCAATTGGCTGTTGGTGTGTTAGGGTGACTAGCGAAAGCGAGAAGATCGCTCTCTTGAAGCTGGGAGAATAGCGCCACCACGTGAACAGCCCGGCCCACTTGCAAGTTCTCTCCTCCATTAGAGCCTTTTTCGCCGTTTTCGCGCTCTCTAGTGTTGATTTTCGGATTCAGCATAGCGAATAGGGCTAGGTATGCATAAAATCTCAAAATAGACTTTTTGCTTGGACACTGCCTTTAAAGGCAGCGTACACCCAAAATTTTGCTCTCGATATTTTGTCATTCTGGGGCCTTTTCGTGCCCCTAATTACAGTTATGACATTAAAATTCTCCAAAAGTCCCAAAAAACCCCGATTCCCGGGGACCCTCACTTCAAAGGTAAAACGAGTTTCGAATTGCTCGACCCCGTCGGCATGCCAGCGAGGAGCAGCTGCAACTCATGACAGCCTGTAGTTGCAACTGCAACTGCAGGGTATGCTGTCGTGGATTGTCGTCTGAAGGAGGCGGACCGCAAAAAGCAACTGCACTGTTGCAATGCAGCTTACGCTGCATGGATTTCGTCCGAAGGAGGCGGAGTGAAAGAAAAGGGGCGGAATGGAAGAAAAAAGGCGGATTTTCGCGCTCAGAAGCAACATTGGGAGACCGGACCAACGCATTCGGTCTTCTTCTGGGCCCTAGATATACACACAGCTTATCATTTTCTAAAAATCAAGGCTTCCATGTAGTTTCATGAGATTGTGCAAGTAACTATTGCTTTTGTAATTTGACAATAATCACATCCTATATTCCTTAATTTCCTATGCGTTCGGATACGGGGAAGGTTGAGCTAAACTTACTTCTTGGAGAGGGAAGACGATCCATTAAGTGAGAGAGTGTGACCCAGTCGCAACTCCGCGTTTTTGTATTTTTTTAGTGCGCTCTTGCGCATTACTTCGATGAACAAAATGCGTATATTGGACGAAAAATACCTTGAAGATTGTTGAAAAGAAGGGGTTGTTTATAAGACGAAATTGATTATGACCGAAGCTTTTTGGTTAGCAAATCAAACGAAAGCTGACAACTATTAATTCTCTTTCACCTTGCCCAAATTTTTCAAAGATTGTTTGTAATATCATATGTATTTCATTGAATTTGTGCCTACAACAAAGCGTTGAGGTTTGCAAATATCAATGGATGATCCATTCCGCACTGAATACCCCTGCTTTTTCAGAAACTTTTTTCCGGTCGTCATTTTTTTCTAGAGCACCTCCATTTCAAATACAAAATAGCCCATAACTTCGTGTAGGAAAAGCTTCGCAAATATAAAAGCTATATTTGAGATCAGCGCTTTAAGCTCTATACATAGGTATATATCACCTTTTGAATCTCCACTTTGACCAACCGAACTTTCCTTGTAAGGTTTAGCCATGAAATTTGTTACCAATATGAGTCAGTCTCACATGACGCTATCGATAATTCTGATCTACCAGAAAAAGGTAGCTGAATTATGTCGCGTAGGTACGGGAAATGTCAGTTCAATCTTCGTGAATCTTCCACTACAAATATAAAACTGAGCAGTTGGCTTATGAGCAACAATAAATGCGCCGTAATACAAATTTTCTTGGCACCTCATTGAAATTGATCGCAGATAAGATCGTAGATCACCAAGCAATGGCTCATGGAAGAAACGCTGTCACGACTGCATCTTATTGACAACTGCGTCTATAAGTCGATTTTTGCGTCATGAATCATTTTTGCTCTTTTGAAGTCAAAAATACTTTAAAGTAAAGACGTGCTTTTGTGTCCGAATCTCTTTATCCTCCGTTTGTTTCTAATTGTCGACTTACACATTGCTCATAATTTTTTTTATCTTGGTTAAAAAAGCAGTTCTTTGCGGATAATGCTCAAAAAAGTGTGGTATTGATCTAATCATCAGAGGCAGCATACACCTAAAATCTAAGTTACCGAATTTCCTAGACCTTTCTACACCGTGTATATACTGGGCCCAGAAGAAGACCAACTGCGTTGGTCCGGTCTCCCAATGTTGCTTCTGAGCGGAGAAAACCCCTCAATTTTCTTTCACTCCGCCCCTTTTCTTTCACTCCGCCTCCTCCGGACGAATCCACGACAGCGTAAGCTTCAGTTGCCGTTGCAGTTGCTGTGGCAATGCTGTTGCATCTGCAACTGCAGCTGCAACAGTGCAGTTGCTTTTTGCGGTGCGCCTCCTTCGGGCGACGAACCACGACAGCATATGCAGCAGTTGCAGTTGCAATTGCAGGCTGTCATGTTGTTGTAGCTGCTGGCATGCCGAAGGGGACGAGCAGTTCGAAACTCGTCCGCTCCTGAATAGAGGGTCCCCGGAAATCGGGGTTTTTTGGGACTTTTGGAGGATTTTAATGATAACTGTAATCAGCGGCACGGAAAGGCCCCAGAATGACAAAAACCTCGAAGGTGAAATTTTGGGTGTACGCTGCCTTTAAGAGATTGTTTTTCTGTCCAACCTAAAGCTCTCGGAGCGTCTAACAAGGAAAGTACCCCGAGTGGCCGTGGCCTTTTAATATGAGATGCATATCGTCTGAAGCAGCTTCGAACACTGATTTCAAATCTGCTTTCCGTTTCTGTGGAACATTCTTCTGAAGAGAGTTATGGAAGCCTGAAAATCCTATTTTGGAGGCGCTCCTTGAGTTTGAGAGCGCTGCTATGTGCGTTGGTGGTGCAGTGGTGTAATGGTTAGTTGTTGGCATTGAAGGCGAAAGGTCACTGGTTCGAATCCGGTGCAGAGCGAACCTTTTTGCACTATAAATGTGAGTTTAAAAAGCACTCTAATTCGTCTACAGACACTTACTGTTATGCCCTTGGCAAATGTGACCTGAGAAAAAAAAGCATAACTGCTTGCAATGAGACCCTGAACTCTACTTGACTTTATCACTAGTAAAACAGGACCAAACATGGTGAAGCATGTTCATCACCATATTCAAAAAAATGCGAATTATCATTAATTGAGAAGATGTTCTCTCCTGCCTTTGTGCTCACAAGCCTGTTTAAGAAACGTGAAATCAATAGAATGTGAATCGAGAAATGTCTGTGTTTTCCCCACTTTGTAATTCGCTTCCCAATCTAATTTCGCTACTTTTCTCCGTACATAAATTTTTTGCGGAGATAACCAAATTTCAACAAGCAAACGGTTCTGCCAGAAAATTTTTTCTTTAGGTCACATTTGCCAAGGTGCCAAGGGCATAACAGTAAGTGTCTGTAGACGAATTAGAGTGCTTTTTAAACTCACATTTATAGTGCAAAACGGTTCGCTCTGCACCGGATTCGAACCAGTGACCTTTCGCCTTCAATGCCAACAACTACCCATTACACCACTGCACCACCAACGCACATATAGGGGCCTGCAGGATCGCGAGAGTCGGACGCGCGTACGGCCTTTGCGCCGCGCACGCCTGATATCGCTGGGTCGTAGTCGATTAAGGCTAGATAGGTAAGTTTTTTTGTTTTTCTTTACATTTCACGCCTTCTTTTCTGTTCAGACGGTGAGCACATGTTGGTGCGGAGGAGTTTAAGATCTGAATTAAGGTGAGGTGCAGGATTATGCTCAATACGAACTCAATATTGCAGACCTTCCATGCCTGCTGGTTGAGATGTTGGATTTTCTGTCCTGGCTGCCCTGTTACAGCAAACTGTTCTATTTCTACCGTCTATTCTACCTTATCTTGCATATTGCTTGTGATAATGATGATGATGATGACAATGATTATGATTGTGATGACGCGCATGATGCAAGATGAGGTAGAACAGACGTTGCAAATAAAACGGAGTTTCGTAACCGGGCAGGCAGGACGAAAAATCGAACATAATCGGACAGCCAGAACAGAAAACTCAACATTCTTCAAAGCAGGGGTGAAAAGTCCACAATATTGGCCCGTATTGAGCATAATCCTGCACCTCACCTTAATCTAGACCTTAAACTCCTCTGCACCAACATATGTTCGCCGCCTGAAAAGAAAAGAAGGCGAGAAATGAGAAGAAAAACAAAAAAAATCTCACCTATCCAGCCTAAATCGAGTACGACCCAGTGACATACGACGTGCGCGGCGCAATGGTACGCACGTCCGACTCTCGCGATCCTGCAGGCCCCTATAGCAGCGCTCTCAAACTCAAGGAGCGCCTCCAAAATAGGATTTTCAGGCTTCCATAACTCTGTTCAGAAGAATGTTCCGCAGAAACGGAAAGCAGATTTGAAATCAGCGTTCGAAGCTGCTTCAGACGATATGCATCTCATATTAAAAGGCCACCACGGCCACTCGGGGTACTTCCCTTGTAAGGCGTATCCTTTAATCTCACCTTACCAGTCTCGTAACCTTGCGTCAGATGGATTTGTCCGTTCTTAGGGACTACGTTGATGCGACTGACACACCCATTAGCTTCCGTCTGCCGTTTTGAGCACTATATGGTAAGTTTTATCAAAAAATGCATGCTGCATGTTTTCGGTGTAATTTTCAATGATTTATATTTATGCCTAGATTTCTGTACAGCGTGTTGGTTCCCTTGAATCTAGATGACTCATGGATAGCTGCTTTTCAGCTGGCTGGCGTATTTCATACTCCCTCTTCTTTCTCAATTTGTTTTGTCAATTTTTTTCGAACTTTTTGTCAAACCTCACCCATCTGTGGCGGAGTTTTTTAAAAGACCTTCGCTTTTTTCTGAAGTACTGCTTAGCTTCCGCTGAAGTAAACTGCCTTAGTCAAACACTTTCCAGTCTTACTCTTACTCCTATTTTAATTCTGGCTCTTTTCGCTTTTCTTACACCTTTTTTTACCAATGTCAACTGATACATTGCCTTGATTTTTATTTGAAGTTAGAAATTACCGCTTATTCATCACCAGCATCTAGATTCGTTTCAAATACCCTTGTCTGATAGTACGATCAGAACTATTATTGATGGAGGCTCAGAAGATTGGTGGATTATGTATACGAAGGAAAACTGATTTCAATCTTCAAATATGTCTCATCTGCCAAGTTCATTAACAAAAAGATATAGGTCAATTAGAAAATCGTGACGACGGACTTGACTGCGGTCTTTACGCCCACAGGGGCAGAAAACACTCATACACACCTCAACTTTCAGCTCAGTCATTTCTAGTGTCTAAATGCTATCATATGTAAGCAGGCATTCGAGCAGAAATGAAAACCAAGAAAATAGCGGTTGCCGGGTATGCGTGCGTGTCGCGCGCGGTTGCGCCATCGTCTTGATTTTACGAGTCCCCTATACTAACAGTAAAGCAGGAAAACATCTCAATTATTTGCTTACTTTTGCAGATTTTCTACTTCTTTCTAAAACAAAAAATCAAACCTTCATTTCCAATTTTCTCCCAAAAAGCACTATTAAAAAATTCTCATTTCCTGCATCGAACTGCTTACATGAGTTTTAAGAAATGTAATGACTTCTTCATATTCAAAAATCAAGATGATTTTTGGAACTTTTCAAAAATTCAAATCAGCCCTGTAAACAATTTTTATCGGGGCGTGACTGCTGCCACGCCAGAGCCCGGCACAGATCGTCTGGAAGCACACTGGACTTCGTTTTCGAAGAAAAAAGCAAAGGAGATATCGAGAATAAGCGTCATTTAGTTGAGCGTAAAGTTTTCGAACAGGTTATCACATGATTGACATGGTCTACCGTGTATGGCGAAAATGTGCGCGATTTGAAAGCAAGGCTGAAATAAACAAATTGCTTGTTTACAGCGCACACAGAATCATATAACAGCGAAGCTGAACTGTATACATAGAAACTTATTTGCAAAAGAATTATGCAAAAAGATTCGGAAACTTATGTGAAGTATTACCTTTTCCAAATAGTCTGTCTCCAGACATCACCAGACGATCTGAGATCGTCTGAGGCATATATATTTGTCACTTCACATAAGTTCTGGATTTTTCTATCATGGGCGGACTCCCCAGTTAAAAATCTATTCCAGAGCATGAAGACATCTTCATATCATTGTCTTTTCTTTTTTTGCCTTAGTGTCTTCACAAATTGTTTTGTTATACCGCGCTCCAATGCCAAACTCTTGTGCATGCTTAATATTTAGCTCCAATTTGGGTTCACACCTATAGAGGCCTGCAGGATCGCGAGAGTCGGACGCGACGGCCATTGCGCCGCGCACGTCCGATGTCGCTAAGGCAGGTGCCAGACTTATCCGCTTCAGCCGGTTCGTTCGGTTCATAGGTCAAATCACTACACTGTCCAACAGTGAAGGTGGTGAACCGAATGAACGTGTTCAACTGGATAAGTCTCGCACCTATCTGAGTCGTCGGACGCACATCTGACGTGCGCGGCGCAATGGCGCGATCCTGCAGGCCCCTATATCTCCGTTTTTTCTTTCAGACTGATTCTTTCTTGTTTTCATCTTCTCCTAAGTAGGTAGGTCAAAGAGGACTTCGTAAAACTTCCAAAAGTCAGGGAGACTTCGTTTTCAAAAACTCTAGAAACCGACTCGTACCGGGCCCTGCGCCACGCCTCCGCTTTCTAAACTTTCGGGGTCGTAGGCTTGCGAAAAATTCGAGAAGCACCTCAAACATTTTTCCCCCTTCCCCTTCCGAACGGGTACCTTGGGACCGCCACTGATGCACAGTATAGTTACCAGTATAGTATAGCACCGAATATTCGTGTTCGAATAATTTATGCGAAATATTCGACTATTCGAATATTCGAATAGTCGAATATTTGAGAAAGTCCATTTATTTGATTATTCGAATAGTCGAATAAATGAGAAAGACCTATATTCGAATAATTCGTTCATTCGACGATTTCGAAAAATGACTTATTCGAATATTCGTTCATTCGACGAGTTTTAAATAAAGGTTATTCGAATATTCATTCATTCGAGTAGTTTTAGAAGATAGTTAGTCTTCGAAAAATTTTCGAAAATCAATTATTCGATATTCATTCGTTCGAAAAAATTTTAAAAATTGATTATTCGATATTCGTTCATTCGGCAAAAATTTTTGTTCGCTACAACTATAATGCACAGGTGATTGGCAGTCCACATCCTCAGTGCACATCTAGTGTTGCTGGCAGAAAATTAGTGGGGTCTGCGGCACTTTGAGCAGTCTATAGGCTCTATGCTAAGGTTATTTGTAACTAGTTTATGAATCTGCACCTTTGCGCGGCAACCAACGATTCCTCGCGAGCAACTTTGCAGTAAAACCTTTCTAGCTTAACAAACTGGAGGTAAGTGTCTAATATCGGTTATCCATTTGAAAAAGAAACAAGGAAGTAAAGGAGAGATACATATTACGGAAATGAGTGGGTTTAAATCTTAGAGCCGCCAAGTAGTTCGCATGATGTGCAATACATATATCAAATTACAAATTTTCCACTATACGTCGATGCGTGTAAGCTGCCAAGTCGGTCTGCGAGCAGAGCATTTATAACGATACATAACAACGCATCCCCCTCCACAATCACTACTCGTGCTCCGCGTCTCTGCTGCGGCGCGCATGCCCAACGTGTTGGCAACATGCAGCAACATGATCGCAATGTGCGACAACTTGTTGGCCAAAGAATTTGGCCATTGAAAAGGTCTATTAGCACTCAACTTTTTTCCTTGGATCTCCCTCATTTGCACATTTAATGACCTTTTCCTCTAATTGTTCCAAGAACTTGGTCATTCAAGTCTCATTCTCTTAGTCATCTCTATAATTTCGTATCATATTCCGATAGGCGGGAAAAGTACAGTAGCAAAAATTTTGGATGCTTACTTCAGCGGACCTATAACCCCAAGTTTTAAAAAGTTCTGCGATAATATTCGACAGAGCTTACAGTTGTGGCCGTGGGATTTGTCCAAAATTGCGGGATTTTTGGGATTTGCGGGATTTTAGGGATTCGCGATGTTTGCGGGATTCGCGACTTCACGGGATTTGCGGGATTCGCGGGATTTGCGGGACTTGCGGGATTTAGCTATAACTTCTTTTAAATCCACTTTATTTGCAATCTGCGTGTAGATTTGGCTTCAGCTTGATGAGACGAATCGTTTGATATACAGTATGTCCGTAATTCGTGGTGAGGGGGTAGACTTACAATGATACCTTGTTGTTCTCTATGTTAAGGCTTTTGTGAACACTTATCACAGCGTAAACCACGAATAGCAGGTTCTGGTACGAAGTTATTATTATCGAAAACTATCGCGAAAAATTGGGCAGTTTTTATTTACCCTTATCACTGATATAAGCATTTTATCATTTATCACTGATAATACCACATTTTTGGATCATTTTTTGCATATGGTAAGGAAAGTACTGTAGGAAAAGCTGTGTGAATTTCTATCGCTCTTTCTCTCATTATAAGTGATCGACAGGCTTTTCTAGTTCTATTGCTCGGTGCAATTGGTAGATCCCTCGCTGCACCAATCGATCGATTTTTCATCGGCACATGCCATTGCTGCCACCTTACCTAGAATGGCATTTTTGCTTTAACTCGCTTCACGCCGAAGCCTGGGCTGAAATCCTGCACCTATATGGAATATGAACGTGGAAAGCGACCGCATGAATTTAAGCCATTCTTATCTGTCGTTGTCATTGATATCATCATTTTATCATTTATCACTGACGACAAAAATTGGATCATTTTTGATATACAATAAGAAATGTACTTTAGAAAACGCTGTGTGAGTTTTTATCGCTCTATCTCTTATAGTACAAATCCACTCCAGAACCTGCAAAATTTCCGGGAATTCCGCGAAATTCATGTGAATCACGCAAATTACGCAGGGCCATAACTTCTTTCCGATTGAGTATATTCAAAATCCGAAAACAACGTTGTATTCAGCTCGTCAAGGCGAATCTTTTAATATACAGGTTGTCTCCAATATCTTGTTTTTAATAATCTTGAATTTGCATGCCGACGCCTCTTCGCATGGATGTAACGCAACAAGCATCACACATAGGAGACTGCCATGGGCACCTTCGTTAGTACTCTTTCACTAGATTATCGTGCGCTAAACAGCATCCGGAGACTCTCTTTCAAAAGAGATAGAAGAGCTGATAAACTCTGGAAAAATTAAGCTGTTCCAAGTTCTACTAGCCGTAACTTTCTTTAGAATGAACATTTTCGAAATCAGAAAGCAGATTTGTGTTTATCTTGTCAAGTTGAATCTTAGTACTCTGCGTTGATACCACTGCTT